GAATTTGGCGCCAATAAACGTTATTAATGAGGCTCTGATCGGCTACTCGAAACGTTTACGAACTTCGTGCTATCTAATGTTTCCCGCCCCTACCCCTTCCAGCCGATAGGTAAAGGGAGGCATGGTATATAAGGGGTCGGGGTTAACGTGAAGGTGAGGTCCTCTTCCCTTTTGCAACCAAAAATACCAAGACATGAAAACTCGCAGCCTGATCATACAAAGCATTTAAAAACTAGACCAGAGTAAATAGGCGTTTAAATGTTAGGGGTAGGATACCTAGCATAGACTTTTGAAATGATATAAGCCATCTTATTTAACCTCTTCACGAAGATTTTGATCGTCCCGGGAGCTTAAATGAACGCGTCGAAAACCAATCAAATGCAATTAGTGTTTATAATATCAGTGGTCAGGTTTCTTCTCTTCAGTTGTATTTGCCTTACCCACTTCCAACATTTCATGAATGAAATTTACTTGTCCTCCTTTGCCCGCTGTGTTACGTTTTGAAATGTCCCTTTTTCAGTACAGCGAACTCAGTGACGAACTCCAGAGTGAAATCAGTGAATTATGTGTTACTGCGTGTGAGAAGTACGCAAATGACAACTCCGTAAGTCCCTGCACATATGATTTTACGTATGTTATCAATATATTTCTAAAAATGACATACAAACGTAGTTGAAAAAAGGAGAATATCAGTGGATGGATTAAATGTGTGTCGAATGAGGAAAGAGCTTTACTGGCCATGGACGTCAGTCCTGAATCCGAAAACGCGGTTCCTCCAGAAGATCCAACCGACATTTTGGAATTTGATATCGCTGCGACAAAGGTTTGGCTGTCAGTAAAGAATGTAATCGATTTGTGCATTTTCGGTAGTTAGACACGCACACGCCTGTTTAAGGCATCATTCGGTCCACCTCTGCTTTCACGGTGATTAACTGGTTGCATAAGGAGGTCAGCAACAGTTACAAGGCGTGCGAAGGGACAACATCATCAGATATGCTGCTTATATCACGAGATTCTGCAGCATCTAATATCATTAATTGCTACGAATCATTAACTACCTACATTATTTTGCATAATGTCGAGACTTCTTGCAAGACTGCAAAAATCCTTATCAAGTCAAATACCATCTAATCTCTCAATCTATTTTTCCACCGTGAAGCAGCCAGAGTAGACACCTGCCTATTTAATGCAAGCCAATGAAAGTAAATAGGCATCCAGATAGAATTCATAAGCCCCATCGTTCTGGGATTAAACCATAAGGAAGACTGACTTTTTGGTCGTAAGTTGTCCAAATGCAATATAACAGCACGCATGATTTATGCGAGGCATTTTCCCACTGCCGGCTAATAGGACTGTCCCGGCTATACATCTCCGCACTTCAAACTTCACCTGCCGTTACGGTATTCATGATTGCGAGAAGGTTACCAAGTGCCGTTAGTGGGTGCGTAGTAGTAGTAGTAGTAGTAGTAGTAGTAGTAGTAGTAGTAGTAGTAGTGGCGATATTCATCGCGTGGGTGTGGTGTCGGTGTTGACGTCCATAGAATTATCCCACTTATCTTGATGAAGATAATCAGAATGGACGATAGTAGAGAAATGGCCGCCGATCCGTTTCGGGAACCTGCTTGTTATTTCGTGCCTTGGGACTCCATCTAAAGCCCCCGCAGGTAGTCACATAGCGATGAGTCATATATGCGGATAAAAGGCTACTGACAGAGACAGGAGGCGGATTGGGATAACAATTTCTGAATTATCAATCGTCATCAGTCAAAAATACCCGCTCACAGGTTTGCACCACCTGAGCCTTGAATCGACATACCGAGGTCACTGAGTGTTATTAAGTCCAGTGCTCTGCTAGTGGATTTGCATGTAACGTTCCAAGTAGTCTATGCTTGAGTGGCAGTCGCTTTTCCGCACCACTATCAGATCTCTTGCCAAAAGCTTAGACGCGTGGTTCGCCGAAGTTGTTGATGCTACACGACGCGTCTGCGAAAGGTACGACATCCCCATTTTGTCCCCCTGTTCCCTCTGCATCGCCTGGCAGATGGCCAAGTGTGAGGTGAATAATTTTGTAAAGTGTTTGGGAAAATACTTGCGTGTAAATGCCCGGAATCTCTTTGCGTCATCCTCAACATTGCATTGAACCTTGTGTCAAAACCTATCAACTTTAGCCGCACATGCGCACACTGCATTCCATACTGATGATAAGTAGTATTCAAGTAGTGTGTGCGTGCACAATCGTCGTATCGTCATCGTAGCATCAAATGTTTGGCCTAAAGCCCAGATACGTGTTTTGGCTTCTCTGCTCAGGGCATGTTGCGGAAGAGTTTGACACATCGACCTTCTCCGTGTGCTTCTAGGCATAATTTGCAATTTTCTGTACATAACTATCAGAATTTAATGCGAAAAATTAGACTAAATCCTCCGAAACATGCCTTGACAAGACAGAAGGATAGAAACCTCCTCGCAGGTGACCTGAAACACTAACCCTAACCGTAACCCAAATCCCAACCGTAAATCTAACCTTCTGTTTCTTAGAGTTGAACGTAAGGTCGCCCAAAGTATGCATGCTCACCGCATCTATTCCTTCATAGTGCTATATTTTGGCAACTACTGAAACAAGGTCAAATTTATTTTTCTGCTAAAACTGTCATTACTTACAGTAGGTGGGCAAAATCATGAAATGTCAAGCGAAATTCCAAAATTCGTTTTCATGCAGCATAATTATATAATGATTCATTTACCGTAGATTGCCGGCTTCCGAATGAACTTCCTTCCGACTTCATGCAGGAACTATAATCTACAAAAATGACTACTAAAGAAGCATGCAAATTTATCATCGATTATAAATGCCCTTGAAAATTTAATTCCATTTCATGGAAAAAATGCATGAAAATATTCATTCTTTTACTTACTCGGTAGTAAATCACGCCTTCTTCCAAGTTTACACTCGAAAGAAGATAATAATTTGGTTTTAAATACTTTTCCGAGTTCCAAGTAATTTTGAACCCGACCTGCTTTTCTGCTTCATTCACGGTTTCAAAACTACGAGACGTATAATTTCCGCGTATAGAAAACCATGCGTTTCTCTACGGTATTAATCGAAGACCGTATGGAGTTCATAAAATTAAGCCCGTGATTCAAGCAATATTGTTAACTTTAAAAGCTACATTCGTAAATACAGATGCATGGCGTTTTATAAGCGACCATTTCTTGGTATTAAAAAATCTTACAATTAGAAACTTTTCTGAAACAGAATTATACTCCTCCTTCGAGTATAAAATTGATGGAAGACGTTATATTCTACCGAATCAAAGAATAAGTCAATATTTTATGCATTTTTTCGTGAAGTATAATTGAATTCTTAAGGGCATCGATAATCAATGAGAAAATTGCATGCTACTTAAGTAGACCTTTTTGCAGAATATACTTCTTGCCTGCAGTCCGAAATAAGTTCATTCGAAAGCTGCCACCCTGTGGTAACTGGATTGTTTTAGAATCGTGCTGGATGGTGATTAGTTTTTCAGCAACACGTAATTCATCTTTTCGAAACGATACCAACATAACTACTTCCGGTCATGACTGACAGGGTTCAATATGACAACCGCTTGGTCGCGCGCTGAGTTCAATGCCCGTCAGGACTGGTTGAATTGATGATGCTGCGGAGGATTCCTAGCTGATCCCTTTTAACGACAACAGATACCTCACCTAAAAACCGCAGCCGCAATTTAGAGTGCTTTGAGAAGCCAATGGATCGGTGTGCCACCATCCTTAAATGGACAAATGCCCGATCTGCAGCGGCAGACAATAGCGGGTGGCGAGGCACTGTAGTTGGAATGTACGGCAAGACCTCCTATTTCAATTGACCATGCACACGCTAGATACTGGGCACACTGTTGCATGAGACGATACTCGCATCTTCGGCGCCTGCCTTATCATAAACAGCTGAGAAATCCTTGAAACTATGCACTCTGATGAGTCGTTAATTAATCAGCATATTGAATCGGACACCGTGTTCAAAAATCTCAATTAAAAATGGCGGAGGTGGGAACCAATCGACACACAGTAGCTATGTGGCGGACGCGTAATGACAGAAACGCAGGAAAATTATTGATTTTTGAGCTTGTTTGAAATGCAGACACGTCCAGTTATGGTAATATGGAAAAAAAAGATATACCCAATTTTCACATCATGTTCCAATTCAAAATTGGCAACTCGAAGACTAAATCCGAACTAAGAGCTTGCAAACCACATCGGAAAAGCTGGCCGCAATTTTAGCTTCCAAGGCCCAACTGTCTTAGGCTGGGGCTCCTCAAAGACAGAACGTCTCATACCTAAGGCTCGGCACTCAAATATTAACTCCATCAACAAACCTATGGACCTTCCGGCGACCTATAAAGTCCTACGTTACTACACATGCCATGACCAGAGCAAGACAGTCTCACGGGGCTTTAAAGTACCGAGCAAATACGGCCCGTCAGCTAACTCACTCGAAAGGGGAGCACAGGTGCAACCGACACTTATTAGGGTGAGGACACAACGCAGGAGGCCACCAACATTTACAAACAACAACCAGAGGACCAACGAAGCGAAAAGAGTAAAAAATCGAACAGCTCGGAGCCAACAAATTCGGCCATTTATTTATCATTTACAAAACGTTTTGATACTGGAGATCTGACCAAGCCCTCCGAAAAGCAGTCTTACGATTCTCCTGGTCTGGTGAACCCTTCACATTTCTCAAACCATTTCCCCCTGACGGAGTGTGTACGATGATCCCTGCAGTGGAGATAGGTTTATTGGTCAGAGCCACAGAAAATGTTGTTGCACAGTTACGGGGGCGAGAGTGAGAGTGGAGGGGAGTCGGGTCATCGAGTAGGAACTTGTGGTTATTGCTGTCGAAACATGCACATTGAGTGTCTGCTGTCGACACGCGTGAGTTTCCTCTCCTCCTCCTCCTCCTCAACCCACCTCCCCTCTCCCCCATCCTGCAGGATGCTGCAAAAATGGTCAAAGAAGGACTCGAACAGAGAACCGGTCCCGGCTGGCACGTTATCGTGGGTCCGGGATTTGGCTTCGAGATCTCCTACGAGTTGAAAAACATCCTCTACATGTACTTTGGCGGAAACACAGGTGTCTTACTGTGGAAGTGCTCCTAGGCCCTGCCAGTACCTCTTCACCGTTCCCGCCTCCATTTCTGGCACTTGTGACCTTTACATGCCTGTACGTCGGCATCTCTGTATACAGCCTCCGGCTAATCTGTGTACCACAAATCGGTCGCAGTTGTTTAGTGTATACAATAAACGCATTCCCGACCACAGCTAACTCCTTTGGGTCAGGACAAATAATCAAAATATTTACGAGGGCAAACCTATTGGGTGAGTCCGAATTCCAACAGGGGCTGGTCGGGATCATCTGCTAGCTACGGGCGTATTTTTATCCTCTTACGTGAGTATCCACCAGAAAGACACACGGGAAGCACTGTGGGATCCACTGATGAGCCGATACCCTCGCAGCTCTGTCATGCAAAGGCGGAACATTAGCGAAACGTATGTGTCTGGGCTTTTAGCTGGTACCTGCGTCGTCAAGTATGTTATGTCGTACTATTAAGGACAAAAGACAGTCTGATTAGTCTGGCGTTGCTTTGCATTACCGGAAAGCTCGTTTGTCTTCAAGGCCTGACACGTGCCCAGACTCCGTAAGGCCTGCATGTGGCTGCGAAAACAATAAATAAAAATCTTTCGAAGCCCCCTCTAGAAACAAAGATCGAGGCCTGAGTATAGTAAGTGGGCTTACTCATGAAATGTCAACCGAAATGCGTTTCCGTTTCGAAAGGATTCATTAAGTAGGGTTGTAAAACTAATCGTCGTGCAGCGTCATTCTAAAATATTTCAGTAACCTCAGGATGTCGGCTTTCCAACGAAACTCTACACTTTGTAAACATGACCACTTAAGTAACGTGCATTTTTCTCTTGAAATTCAAATATATTTCATAGAAAACATGCATATAAATATTCATTCTTTTGCTCATTCGGTAGAAAATAACGTCTTTCATACCATAATCACCCCCGGATGCCGGCATTCGAAAAAACTTCTTTCCGGCCGCATCCAGAAAGAATACTCCGTAGAGAATGACTACTTAAGTAGAGGGCATTTTTTCATTGATTTTCGATACTCTTAAAGATTAAATTATATTTCACGGAACACATGCATAAAAATATTATTTATTTTACTCATTCAATAGAAAATTACGTCTTCTTTCAATTATCTACTCAAAGGAACGGTTTAATTTGGTTTTATAAAACTTTGCAATTCCTGAATAATTTTGAAGTCGACCTGCCGTTACACTTGCATTCAGGGTTTCCAAACTACAAGCCGTATAATTTCCGCTTACGGATATCCATACATTTCTCTACCATATTAAGAGGAGATTACATGGCGTTCATAATATAAAGCAGTGGATTTGAGCCACACTGTTAACTTTACAAGCCATATTGCTCAATGCAGAGACATGACGTTTTATGAAGGGTCATTTCACGGCATTAAAATCGCACAATGAGAAACTTTTTTAAAAATGAATTAAACCCTTTTTCGAGTATAATAATGAAAGGAAACGTAATTTTCTTCTGAATGAGCAAAAGAATGGATATTTCATGCATGCTTTCCATGAAATATAATTGCATTTTTAAGGGCATCACAAATCAATGAAAAAGTGCATGCTACTTAAGTAGTCGTTTTCTTCGTAGTATAGTTTTTGAATGCACCCGGTAAGAAGTTTGTTCGAAAGCCGACATCCGGGGGTAACTGGATTATTATAGAATTACGCTGAAAGATTTTTGGTTTAACAACCTTACTTTACTAATCTTTCCAAAACGGAAACGCATTTCGAATTTCTTATGACATTTCATGAGTTAGCCCACCTACTGCACAGCCAACATTCTAACCCCTAGGCTGCGAGGTTCTACCAGAAACCATGAGATTAATTACATCTGGGTCAAATTGCCTGCCGATTCGCAGCTTAACGGATCATCTGAAACCCTGAGGGATATTTTAGAAATCTAAAATACCCACATGCTGCAGAAAATGGACGCTTATGCGACAGTCCGGACTTCAGTCCCATAGCAGACAGGTGGTCACTGACAGTCTACCCACGCACACATGTCGATCATCATAAATGCGTCAGCACGGTCTTGTCAAACAACCGTTTGACGTTCTACTCCATATGCTACTCCTAAAACAATTTTAAAAACAAGATTCTTTCGGAGTTGAAATCGTTATTTAATCAAGCAAAATGCAGAAATCTCGTGGATAATGTGGGCACCGAAGCCCATTGAATAGTTATTAAAATTGTTTGACGTATTTTGTCGATTAAAAAGGTCACTTGAGTGGTGTAACGAAATGAAATATAATTGGAACTAAACTGTAGTCTTTTTGCGCAGGGTAGCACGTTGGTATTATGTCTAGACATCCGTTCGGCCAGGTATGGGCAACAGTCATTGTTCGAGTCTTGGGTATTTGTTTCTTCTCAAATAGGCATATTTTCAACGGCAGCATGTCTTCTCCAGACTCCGCAACTGAAGGACATATTTTATTTTAAACATTGTCGCGATAAGGAGACTCCTGAAGTTGCTCAGCCGAGTACAAGTTCATCTAGCCATCCTTAGGTTGATGCATAATGTTCAAAAAATATGGAACCTGATCTTTATTCCGTGTTCACCCGGAGAGTCCTTCTTAGATGGACATTTTTGACCATGCGGATACTAGAAGACTCTACGCAGGCATGTGAACTCTACTCAGAGGGCATGCAGTCATTGACTGGTCTAATGAAATGTTAACCGAAATTCTGAAATGAGATTTGACTAGGAATGATTACGTAAGCGAGTCTGCAATGGTGACCAGCACTTTTCTTTGGCCGTCTATGGTAACCCTCTACAAGGGTACTATTTCTTCAACTCTTTCGGTAGCAAATCATGTCTTTATCAAATTGGATACTCATAGGAAGGGCATCTTTTGGTTTTAAAATTTTTTTCTCTTCTCCAGTCGTTACGAATTATTTTTAAAACTGAATGATACCCTTTCTTTGAGTATGTTGCTTAAAAAATACGAGATTTTTAACGAAATCAGTATAGGAATGTTTATATGCCGATTTTTTGCAAAATGTCTTTGAATTTATAGGGGCATTGAAAATCGGCAAAAAATGTATTCTACGTAAGCAGCCAGTTTCATACCAATTAGGCTTTTTGCAGGCGGCCTCGAGTGTTTGGAACCTTACCAGATCATATCACAAGATAATTACCATTGCAATCCAGTCGAAACCGCAATTCGCTTAATATTTTGTGATATCGGTCACTGATTTTACGCAGCATGTAACTTGGAAACTTTAAACATCAATGAAAGTTCCAGCGGTTTTTCAAAAGCTGAGGCTATTTTTAAACTCTTTGGGCCTAAATAACAGTGCTCAATCGAAACCGATCGAAAGAAAAACGGAAACTCGTCTGAAATGGCTATTGGAAATACTTTTTGCGGTCTTTCTGCAAGTTTTGTTTTTCAATCAAAACAATAATTTAAAGTTAACGAAAAAGTTGCGTTAATTGCGTGTGAGATTTGCAGAGACGGCTAGAACTGGAATTTTATTGTTGATTTTCTGATCAGTTTTTTGCCTGAAACTCTATTTAAAATGTACGGTCAGTGTTCAAATACTGTTTCTCTCGTCATTGTTGAAATGGGAGTCAGAACAACATAGAAGTTTGCTAGTCAGGAGTAGGAATATGCTATTCTACAAAGTTTCGAGAGACATGTTAACTCTCTTGATTAAATATAAGACGCAATAGGCACGTAATACACTGAGCGACCGTCAAAAACAAGAACTGATTTCAAAAAAGCTGTTCAGTGAATAGCACTCAGCTCGGCCTGCGTGGGTGGACAGTCAAATGCCAGTCAGTGTGAGGATGGAGTTCGCAACTGGAAGAAAAGTGTGAAATTTAAATGCATGGAAGGTCGACCAGACGTAGATCTTTTAACCACAGCAGGCATTTTATTCTTCCAATAAATAAAGAGCAGATCGAGGTAAGTTCCGGGAGTAAAAACCCCCCTATCACAGGTGGCCTTGCTCTAGATTCCTTGGAAGGGGGGCTTGATTTAGGCTTCATTCAGATTGACAAATTTGAGAGATCTGGGTAGAGTATTTGAAGAAGATGATTATGGGCTCTTCGAAACAGGTTTATTTAAATGCTGACGTTTAAAAGCGCTTGGCCAGCTCTCCATTGTCAAAGCGTAAAATGCACTTATTCGATCCGAACTTTCAAGTGGCATGTTGTGTTGGTCGGCTTCTTGCTGGATTTAGGGTTAAGTTGTTAGAATTGATTGGTGTCAGGGTTAAGGAATCTAAGGTTAGTGTTGAAGTATCGGCCAGGGGTAAATGTAAGACTCGGGAATAGGTCCTCCCCTCGAATTTAACTCAAGGCCATCCGCACTGCACGAGGTTCTTATTCGCATGGCACCCAGTCAATCAGAATGGTCAAGAAGAAGCTTGCTCCAAGAGGCAACGTAAAGTGTTTTCAGTTTGCTGGTAGTTAGGTTTCACGTAACCAGCCAGCAATCAATGCAATTTCGACTTCTTTATTTGCATAAACCTTTCTTTGAAAAATAAGCAGATGACAGTCGGGGCTGTTTTCTCCGGGGAACAATTCAGCTAAATGAAAATAACTGAAGATATTAATTTATACGTGCCAGAGAAAGAAATAAAAAGACCTTGCGGTGACTTTTGCTTGACGGTGGTTAAGATGCCCTGGGGTTGTCACCGGAGTGAAAATACGGCAGTGCAATACCTTTTGGACAGTGTCTGCATTAGGGCATTAAACTCATTTAATAGTACCACTAAATGGTAGAAATAGTGTTCCCTTTTAACTGGTGACAGTATGGAGGAATAAAATTGTGATAACACGAAGTTATTAGGTATCCAGCTCTTTCGCTTAACACGAATCACATCCTTGCCAAACAAACTTCTGTTAGTTCATGCACCATCGAATAATCCCGTGCTTTTGTCCTTCCCCACACTTCTGCCGCTGGAGCATACAGTAGGTGGGCTAACGCACGAAATAACAACTGGAATTCCCGAATGCGTTTTCGTTTTGAAAATATTAATTAAGTAGGGTTGTAAAATTAATAAATCTGCAGCATAATTCTATAATAACTCAGCTAACTCAGGATGCCATCTTTCGCAAAAACTTTCTTCTGGTTGCATGCAAAAACTATACTTTGTAAAAAATGACTACATATATAGCATGCATTTTTCCCATTGATTTCCGGATGCCCTTAAATGTCCAATTATATTTCATGGAAAACATGCACAAAAATATTTATTCTTCGGCTCATTCGGTAGAAAATTACGTCTTCCTCCAATGTTGTTCTCGAAGAAATGGGTAACATTCGGCTTTCAAAAACTTTTCCAATTCACGAATAATTTTCAACTTGGCCTGCCGTTACACTTGCATCCAAGGGTTTCCAAACTACAAGCCCCGCGTACGGAAAACCACACATTTCTTTACGGTATTAAGATGAGACAATATGGGGTTCATAATATTTGGCATTGGATTTGATCCATATTGTAAACTTTACAAGCCACATTGGTAAATGCAGAGACATGACGTTTTATGAACTGCCGTTTCACGGTATTTAAAATCTCACGAGTATAAAATTGAAAGAAGACGCAATTTTCTACCGAATGAGCAAAAGAATGAATATTTTTATGCATATTTTCCCTGAAATATAATTTGCCATTTACGGTCATCCGAAAATCAATGGGAAAAATTCATGCTACATAAGTTGTCATGTTTACAGAGCATAATGTTTGCATGCAGCCGGCAAGAAATTCCTTCGAAAGCCGGCATCCTTGGCTAACTGAATTATTATAAACTTGTGCTGCAGATAATGAGTTTTACAACCCTACTTAATTAATCTTTTCGAAACGAAAACGCATTTAGGAATTCCAGTTGACATTTCATGCGTTAGCTCACGTACTGTAAGTCGATCTAAAAGACTTGAAACAAGTAGGTGGTTGTGACTTGCGACTGGTTCGAAAGACCTCATCCAATTCGAATAAAATGTAAAGATTTGCCTTTGTAGTCAAACAAACGCACCTTTTCAACCCTCGCTAGGCTTTAACAGTCATAACCTCGACGGTTGTCAAATAATTGGACCATGATGCAACTACTCATTCTTCCTGTTGCCTTCATTTAAAATCTCCAATGAAATATCAGTGAACCTATACTCAGTCTGGTCGGGGCTTGAGAACGTGTGCCAAGTGTCACCAAACAAGTTAGCCTTGGTCCCTCGTCGCCCAATGCCATGACGAGGAGTCTGACCTGGCCTGGCGACTGTTCAGTGCTTCAGAAAGTTGCTTCTGTCTAACAGGTGCAGTTCGCCTACAGTCAGCGAGGTCCTCCAATCGACTTGTGAGTACACTAGCGAAACTACCGACCGGCCGATCCATTTCCGGAAGAGGAAACTTTTGTCACAACGGATCAACAATAACATATTTTACGACCTTGGTGAAGGAAATGGTTAGGTTGCAGTTTTCTCGATGACTGTATAAAAGGCAGCAGTTTAGGTCTTCTGTTCAATAGTTGGATTGGATAAACATCACCTGCCCTTACTCCACCAGTTGTGGCATTCATCTTCGGTTCAGGATGGCGGACTGTTAGCATGTCGTTTAAACAAGCAGATTGCGTCAGTCTGCCGTCTATTGCAAGGTCTGCTTGGAGATGACACCCGCTTACAGAGGAACACACGATAGTTTGTCCAGCCGTCGTTGCCGATTATGTCAACCGTGTGCTCCACAACAAGGTTAAGCAGGTCGGTGACTTGTGCGTGATTTAATTTATCGGGAATGTAGTCCTGCACAGCATCTACCACACTCTCGCCTTCACCCCTACCTGGACCCGATGTCAAGATGGAGTCAAGAAGGCCGGAGGCAAGGGAAGGGCGTAGGTGGTTGGCGCGATCGGACCCGCACCTAGGCGTGTCACCACATCATGCACTTGACCAGGATTTTTCACCAACAACAAAACAACACTCCAGCGGGGATCAAAAGAACGAGGATGATGACTGGGCAGCCATGCCCACCACATGTATACCCAACGAGAGCACAAGCGCATCTACCATCTGGGAACCAGGTACCAGGGAACTGTCAGCGCATACCAGACTGCGAGGGCCATGATTTGCTGATACTAGCATAGCACACGCTTTCAGACCTTTTGACCAGGCAAGAGGAACACGAGAGTTTGACCGTCGATTTCGGCGATGCCCACCGTGTGTTCCACAGCAGAGTGGAAGCAGGGACGGTGATTTGCTCGGGGATTTATAGTGCCAGTAGACTTGCAATGTATCTACCACACTTTCTCCTCCTACCCCACCTGAGTCCGGTGTCAAAACAGAGTCAATAAGACCGGAGATGAGGAAGAGGAAAACACACACACCAAAAATTGCCAGTGAAAGCTGCCACAAAAATGCATATGCTTGAGTGTGATAATCTATAACGGCTAAGAGGACCAGCTTTCATCTACGATAAGGACTGTCCACCACGTTTTATCGGTTTCACAGATGAGTGACGTCCTCGGTGCTGAAAGTCGTCGCTACGAAAAATGTGGGAACTAGAATGACCCCCTCGACCTTCTCTGCTGTCGTCAGCTCTGCACGTCGAATTAACCTGACGCGACTTCAATGCGTCTCCTGTTGACTTTTCGTAAAAGATACAGTAGGTGGGCTAACTAATGAAATGTCAACCAAAATTTCGAAATGCGTTCTCGTTTTGAAATGATTACTTAAGTCCGTTTGAAAAACTAATAAGCATGCAGCATAATTCTATAATGATCCATTTACCTTATGGTGTCGGCTTCCGAATCGACTTATTTCCGCCTGCATGCAAGAACTATGCTCTGCAAAAAAATGACTACTTATGTAGAATACGGCTTTCTCATTCATTTTCGGTGCGTTTTAAAATTCGAATATATTTGATGGAAAAATACATACAAATATTCATTCTATTGTTTATTCAATAGAAAATTACGTCTTCTTCCAATTTTATACTTGAAGGAAGGGAATAATTAGGTTTTAACGAAGTTTCTAACTGTGAGATTTTTAATACCATGAAATGGCCGTTCATAAAACGTCATGTATTTGCATTTACCAATACGGCTTTTAAAGTTAACCATGCTGCACAAATTCACTGCTTAATTTTACGAACCCCGTATGGTCTCCTCTTAATACCGCAGACAAATGTATGGTTTTCCGTATACGGAAAATATGCAGCTTGTAGATTTGTGACCCTAAATGCGAATGTACCGCAGGTCGGGTTCAAAATTATTCGGGAATTAGAAAAGCTTTTTAACACCAAATTATAATCCCCTTTCAAGTACACACTCGGAAGAAGACGTGATTTTCCACAGAATAAATAAAAGAATGAATATTTTTCTGCATGTTTTTCATGTAATATAAGCGACTTTTCAAGGGCATCGAAAATAAATATCAAAGTTGCCTGCTACCGACGTAATCATTTTTTCAGGGTATAGTTTTTGCATGCAGTCGGCAATAAGTACATTCGAAAGCCGACAACCTGAGGTAACTGGATCATTGTAGAATTATGCTGCGTGATGATCAGTTTTACAACCCCACTTATTCAATCTTGTCGAACCGAGAACGCATTTTATAATTTCAGTTGACATTTAATGAGTTATTCCGCCTACTGTAGATGCGGACTAATCCATCATTGCAGAACATTTCCGACTTCTTTGATCTTTGTGCTCCTGCATGACATGCAACTTATTTCTCTTCCCCGTTTTTCGTTCCTTTCTGTTACTGTTCTTTTCCGTCTCTCCCATGCCCTCGTCTACTCTTACTTTTCTCCCTTAACTTTGCCGCTTTTTTCCTTATCAAAATTTTTCCTCTGATAAAGTGTTTCCTCTAGCCTCCTCACCGTCCCTTTCTCCATCTTCTCCTCTCTCTTCTTTTCCTCCTCGTTCTCCTCCTTCTTCCTCTCCTTCCCCTTCTTCTTTTTGCCCCTTTTCCCCCCTTTCTTCTTCTTATTCTTCCTCTTCTTCCTCTTCTCCTTCTTTTCCTCGCCTTTCCCCTCATCTTTTTCCCTTGATAGATGAGTTTTCGCCGAGCATTCTACACGGTGCGGTTTTCAGACATCTCACCATACATGCTCATCAGACTGCTGTTTCTTGAATCCCTTCAGCTGGCCGCCAAGATGCTGAAGGACGCCCTCGAGGAGAAAATGGGCGCGGGCTGGCACGTGGTGGTCGGTCAGGGCTTCGGCTACGAAGTGAACTACGACAAGCGCTTCATAATGTTTATGTACTTTGGCGGAAATACTGCTATTCTGATGTGGAAGTGTCTATAGGCGAATCGTTTCTATCGTTTTTAATAAATTTGCATGTTTGTCTAGCACTCCATCTGCGCTCCATTTCACATGGTGCTTTGAATGCCAATATGCGGGATACACTGCCGCGTCCGCGATCGGGGTCATCAAAGTGGGCGTGTTTCAGGATGGGAGGTTGCGACAACTAGCATGACATTTTCGGGTTGATTTAATGATCAACATCCAAGGTAGGATGTTGCTTTATTCAATCTTATCAGTGGGCAACCGAGGGCACAGACATTTTGAGAAAAAATGCAGGAAATCAAAATGTAAGCAAACTTATAAATTAAAAACCAAAGCTTACTGAAATCTGAAGGTGGAGAGAAAACTTAGCGAGACAATATCGAGGCAGAAAATGTATAATACTCACCAGACTTCACAGAAAGCAAGGTCATTGTCTCTCAAACTAGAGTAGCCATTAGGTACAATAGGTGGGCTTACTCATGAAATGTCAACCGAAATTTCGAAATGTGTTCTCTTTTCGAAAAGATTAGTTAAGTAGGGTTGTAAAACTAATAATTATGCAGCATAATTCTATAATAATCCAGTTACCATAGGGTATCAACTGTCAAATGAACTTTTTCTCGACTGCATGCAAGAAATATACTCTGCAAAAAGGTCTGCTTAGATAGCATGCAAGTTTTTCATTGATTTTCCATGCTCTTAAGAGTTCAATTATATTTCACAAAAAAACGCATAAAAATATCGGTTAATTTATTGATTCGGTGGAAAATAACGACTCCCTTCAAATTGATACTCGAAGGAGGAGTATAATTCTGTCTCAGAAAAGTTTCCAGTTGTAAGATTTTTTAATACCATGAAATGGCCGTTCATAAAACGTCATGTATCTGTATTACCTAGCGTTGTTTTTAAAGTTAACAATATTGCACAAATCCAGTGCTTACTTTTGTGAACCACATATTATCTCCTCTTAATACCGTAGAGAAATGCATGGTGTTCCGTACACGGAAAATATACAGCTTGTAGTTTTGAAACCGTAAATGCAAGTGTAACAGAAGGTCGGGTTCAAAATTATTCGAGAATTAGAAACTTTTGTGAAACCGAATTATGCTCTTCTTTCGAGTATAACATCGGAAGGCGACATGGTTTTCTACCGAACAAATAAAGGAAGGAATATATTTATGCATGTTTTCCGTGAAATATAATTGAATTTTCAAGTGCATGTAAAATTAATGAGAAAAATGCATGTTACATAGGTAGTCATCTTTAAAAGAGTATCTTTCTTGCATGCAGTCGGAAATAAGTTCACTCAACAGATGGTACCCTCAGTTGACTGGATTATTATAGAATTATGGTGCATAATGATCACTCTTACAACCCTACTTAGTTGATCTTTTCGAAACGAGAACGCATTTCGAAATTTCGATTGACATTTCATGAGTTAGCCCACGTACTCTATTCTTAGCTTAACTGCTCGATAAAACTGTAGGTTTTGGTGTTTCAAACTTTGTGGAGAGGTTTTCCGCGTAGTCCACCCCGCAGGAATTATCAGTATCAGTATCAGGTTATTAAGGGAAATATAGGCAAGCGCCTTTGAATTCCCTCTTGGTTACAAGTCGTCGGAGAAAAACATTGATAAATGGGAAGGTGAACAAGGGATTTTGTACATACTCGCCGACAGCTGCCAGCTAGCCGAAAAAGAGTAATCATTAATGGTTACTTACTAATTACAAGTAGTATAAACACATATAAGAGAATACCGGGTTATGTGAGTGGATGTGGTGGTGGTAATTGGGAAGCTTGATGCAGGTCAAGTCTACACTTGAAGGAGTTCACACAGGAAGAGGTTACAACATCGGTAGGTAGGGCATTCCAGGCTGCAACCACTCTGTTACTGAAAAAGGACTTTCGTCCATTGGTTCTTGATTTCCCTGCGCGTAGTTTCAGGGGATGACCGCGCAAATTGGGCGTGTTAACTTGGGTGAAATAATCAGTGGGATCTAAACAACAGTCTAGGCCGTTGATGATGCGAAATGTTAGTATAAGGTCACCACGTAATTGCCTGTAGGAAAGGGGAAACAGGTTGAGGATTGACAGTCTGGTTTCATAGGGCAGTGCTCCCAGACCTTGTGTCATTTTGGTCGCCCGTCTCTGGACCTTCTCCAAGACGGTATAATCCTTGGCAGTCCAGGGTCTCCACGCCTGTATGGCGTATTCTAGATGAGGTCGCACGAAGGTGCCAAATATTTTGGAAAAGCAGTCAGGGTCAAATCCCATAAATGCTCGCCTAATGAGTTGCAATGTGGCCGTAGCCGATTTAGCCGCCTTCGCGCAGTGCAGTGTTGGTTTGAGTGAAGATGTAATCCATACACCCAGGTCCTTCTGACTGTCAACCTGTTGCAGTGGTGTGCCGTTTAGAAAGTAGGTCCTGGGGCTGGGGGCTCTGAAGCCGCCGAGTTGAAGAAAGTTACACTTGCTTATATTGAAGGGCATAAGCCAGCGCTTCGACCTGTCTTCGAGCCTGTTCAAGTTTGCTTGCAGGTGGTCTGCGTCTGCCGCATTGTGAATAACTTACCACAATTTTATGTCGTCGGCAAACAGGATGGCATCACAGTCTAGGTCCTTGACGCAGTCATTTACGAAAACGAGGAATAACGTGGGACCTAAGACTGAGCCCTGTGGGACGCCACTCACCACGCTTACATCTGACGACTGTTGACGCCCGACCTGCACTCTCTGGGACAAGTAAATTGCAACTATTATCGACAGCTAGCATAACCATGTCTGGCATATGTGTTTAAGACCCCCTTTGTGTCAAGGTCATTCACCTTTGTAGTGAGCATTTCCAAATGGGCTAACTTGTAGCCACCTGATTGAATTTAACTCGGACGCAAATGCGTCCACAGATTCGCATCTGCCCATGCGCCAATTGAACACATTGCCACCCTCCAGTCAACAAGGCAAGATACTTGAACACCACCCCTCAGCATGTACAGTAGGTGGGCTAACTTATGGAATGTCAACCGAAATTCCAGTAAGCGTTTTCGTTTCGAAAAGAATAATTAAGTATGGTTGTAAAACTAATCATCGTGCAACATAAATCTATGATATTTCAGTTACCTCAGGATTCCGGCCTTTAAATACTTTTCTTTTCGGCTGCACGCAGGAACGACATTCTGTAAAAAATGACTACTTAAGTGGCATGCAATTTTCTCATTGACTTTCGAGGCCCATAAAAAAATCAATTATATTTCATTGAAACATGCATCAAAATATTTATTCTTTTGCCCATTCGGTAGAAAATATGCCTTCTTCCAATTTTATACTTGAAGGAAAGGTATAATTCGGTTTTAAAAAACTTTTGCGATTCCGGAATAATTTTGGACCTGACCTGCCGTTACACTTTCACTCAGGGTTTCCAACCTGCATATCGCATATTTTCCACGTATTGAAAACCATATATTTCTCTACGGTATTCAGAGGAGATCATATGGCGTTCGCAAAATTTAGCAGGGGATTTGGGCCATATTGTTAACTTTGGAGGCAACACTACCCTGCCAGCACATGGCCCCTTCATAGGCGGGGCTGGAAGGGGCTGGTTGGGGCCAGAGCCCCGCCTGCCAGCACATGGCTCCTTCATAGGCGGGGCTGGAGGGGGCTGGGCGGGGCCAGAGCCCCCTCTGGATTGAAGCCTTTTGAAGAGTATTTGCATCGAAAGATATGTTCCAAAAGCACCACTTATTGTACCTTCTTTGGAATTTAAAGGAGCTAATTTATCAAAATTGGCTTATAAACCATGGAGAAAGCATCCGTTTACGCCCACTGAATGTAGCTGCGGATGAGCACAATATATTGAGGTTTTGTTTAAGTCCCTCATTGCTTAAACTCTTATTTGTCCACCGGTTTACAATCTGTGTGTGTTATTAATTCGTATATTTGACAATGGGGACGATATTTTAAAGCGGTGCCAAAAGTGGGCTGGGATGTGGCGTCCCCTGCGCATTTTTTTTCGCTGGCGGGGCTAGGCGGGGCTATCGCGTTGCATGCCCCGCCAAAGCCCCCTCCACAGCCCCGCCTAGCCCCCACATAGCCCCCTCTAGCCCCGCCATTATTGAGGGGGCCAGGCGGGGCTAGGCGGGGCTGGTGCTGGCAGGGTACTGAATGTAGATGCATTAAGTTTTATGAACGGCCGTTTCATGGTATTGAAAATCCTATAATTAAAATCTTTTTGAAAACCAAATTATACCCTTCCGTCGAGTACAAAAAGAGAAAGAGAACGTGATTTCCTACCGCATGAGTAGAAGAATGAATTTTTTTATGCATGTTTTCCATGTATCGAAAATCAGTGAGAAAAGTGCATGCTTCTTATGTAGTCATTTCCCTGCCAGCGCATTACCCTTTCGAGTTCCATCTTTGTATATCGGTAGATATTTGTTGTCTTCCGCTCGATAATGCGCTTGTTGTTTGGTAATAACGTTGGCCAATTTTGTTAGGCACTTAACTGATATATTGGCCGGACACAAGAATGCTTCTTTCCTAAGATTCTACAACTCTCTTTCCATGGCATATGCTGGTAAGTACATACAGTGAGTGACCTATCTCATGAAATGTTGTCTAAAATTCTAAAATGCGTTTTCAATTAGGAAGGATTACTTGAGCGCGGTTATAATACCGATTGCCTTGTGGCATACTCTTATAACATTTCGGACTAGGCAGGATGTCGGCTTTTAAATGCACTTCTTTTCAATTTCCTGTAGAAGGCGTGCTCGGCAAAAAGTGACTACTAAATTAGCATGCATTTTTCCCATTGATTTTCGATGGGCTTGGAAATTCAAATCTATTTTATAGAAACCATAAACAAAAATATGCTTTCTTTTAGTCAATCAATAGAGAATCACGTCTTCTTTATATTTCATACTTAAGGAAGGAATGTTATTAGGTTTTAAAAAATTTTCTAATTATGAGACTTTCTACGACCGCGAAATTTCCATTCATATAGCATCATACCTGGCCGTTTACCA